CCACGCCCCTTCCCTCCCCCATCCACCCACCACAGCAGACTTATCAGCTGGAGGAAGCTGTGTCCAACATGATGGAGGACTGCTGCCAGTTGAGTCTCTGGCCAAATCTTCAGATCCAAATCAACTGAATCAAATTGGGACAGTGATTCAAATCACAGAATCAAATCACTGTCCCTCTAAATTGGCAGAATCTGAAGCAAATGCTTGCTGCTGTGCACAGACCTACTTGTTACAGTCCCCAAAATTTTCAAATAGGGAAAAATTATTGATTTACTTTCCTTTAGCAAATGAGAATATTGCCCAAATTTTCTTTTTCCCTGGTATATATGATGAGGATGGAAATTGGTAAATAAGCCTTAAATGTAACAATTCACTTGTTTTGGGTATACTAACCATCACAAATGAGGAGGAAACTTCATGCTAGTGGCAAGTTATTGAGTAATTATTGGAACTTTGGTAGATCTCAGAAGCTCCAACTATGGACCAGGGTCCTACTGTTAGGTGCTATCTAAGCATATAATAAAGAGGAGTTTAAAATCTATGTATGACGGTATGATTGATTTGGCAGGCTTTACAATTCTTCTGAAATGCCTGGGATTTGTCACTATCATGCATATGGCATCTGGTAGAGTGGACAATCGGTCTCAGCTAACATTGATTTTCTATACAACAAGATGAGATGTAACACACAACATTTACAGAATGGAATAGGGGGGAAAAGTACGTGTGTAAGGGCTAATGGAAAGTCTTTTTCGTCAGGTGAACATTTAGTATAAAGAAATATACAAAAGGAACAAAAGGCAAAGGCAATTCCTTTTATGTTGGCTGCAAATTACATTTGATAAAACCATATCAGTACTACACATTAGAACAACTTTAGCCTACGGAAGTGGTGCTGCATCTCACCAATTCTTCATAGTTAGCTGATCCCCGTGAAGAAGTCTATGGAATGAAAGCTTTATTGGAGGGTAGAATAGATGTACAGCCCTTGTGATTTGAAAGATGTCTTTAACATAGTAAGTCTAAGCTAGTGTCAAAAACATTTTCCTGATATGGCAACCAAACAAAAACAGCGGTGTGTGAGAGGTGTGAACTAACCCATTTATTCCAAAGGTATATTCACTGTTAAAAAACAAATAAAGGTACTTTAGGAGATGCATTTAGAAACAAATTATGCAACACCTGTATTTACTCAAGCTTATAGATGCAAATATAAGTGGCTAAATAGGCAAGATACAAAAATCAGCAGTGTTTATAAAGATAGCTAGTATTATTTACCTCCTTTGAGTGATGCTGGCTGAAGCAGCAACTTTAATAACTAAAAGTTCATGTACTAAATATGGACTAGATTCCATCTTCTATGTCTAGACAAACCTCAGTCTGGCTCAAGAGAAGCATATAGTCCTAGTTTTATAGACCTGGATCACAGACCACAATTAAAAAAGGAATTTGGCCTACTGAACATAGTGAATATACTGTAGGGTTTGAGATTGTTGGGATTTTTGTAAGCCCTTTATGTTTTTCCTGCTGTCTTGCCGAAGTCTTACAGTAGCAGCAGGTGACAGGTCCACCAAAACAAAAAGAAACTTCCAGTTAATAGTTACACTTGGAGTGCCAGCAGTAGTATTGTGGTTTCTTTTGCACCTCTCTTAAAATACCAGTGCATTACCTAACTGAATAAATGCAGTGGCTTAGCTATCATAATGGGTCTTCCTAAAATTATAATAAGTAAAATGCATTCAGAAGGCAGGTGAAGACTCGAGGTCAGTTTTGTTTCTACAGCTGATGCCCATTTGTCTCATAGTTAGAAGTGGAGAGTTTCTTAAAATGCTAAAGGAGATGGATGAATCATTTCACAAAAGTGGGTTTTTTAATGCTCTGAACCAAACACTAATAACTTCTGGACTATTGCTCCATGCTAAATGGAGCCTTGAGAGAGAGCTTTTGTTGAAGAGGAAGTAGTTGGTCTGTAGGCTGCCTAAAAGAAAAGAAACTATTCAGTATTTTCTGTCCTTTCTTTCTTTGAAAAAATTCAGTAGGAGTTAAAGTAAATCCAAGCTATTATAGCGCTTTGTGGAAAAGCTGCTACTGGAATAAGCAACCAAGAGAGATAGTGAAGAGAGGTTGAAGCCTGATCAGTTTTCTTACTTTTGATTTCTAAGAGAAATCTGTAGGCTTTCACCATGATTTCAATGTCATTTCCGCCACTCTGAATCTTCCATCTGGATGTGTCTTCCTTTTCTTTTTAGATATACAATCAGAGCTTCAGTTTATTTTTGCATAACGTATTTCCTTATGTGCCCAGTCTACAGATGGTTATGAGTTTTATAGCCCTCAGCTAATCGATATAAATATTTAGGGACTCAAGTTTTTAATTCCAGAGATCTCTAAGTTGGTACCTTAAGTCAAGCAGAATAGCGATTGGCATGTATGTGCATTTTTCTAGTTTGTCCCATTAGGCACATGAGAAGGTATGATACAGCTTCAGCAGCATAATTTAAAAGTTTTGAAGAATGCATTGTATGTTATAATATAAAATAAAGACAAATAAGTAAGATAGAGACAATGTTCCTTAGAAAAGACAATTTCCAGGGAATTTTAAAAGATGGAGGATTATGTATCGAGCAGCAAAATGGAATTGAACGACAATTGTGTCCCCCATAACTTGGAAGAGGACTGGATTAGTTCAGGGGTAGGCACCCCCAGCAGGGGTGCCAGCCCGTGTGCCTTGGGGCGGATGGCGGGAAAGAGGTCGGGGCTGCACTGCCACAACAAGGATTGGGCACCTCGCGGTTCCTGCACTGTCTGCCCCAGCACACCAACATCTTACAAGTTGAGGTTCCAAGTAGGTGTTTTTGTCACTCTGCCCAAAACCATTGACAACCCCTGGATTAGCTGTTGAACATTGTCTGAAATACAGGGCTGATGTTTTAACCTTATCAGAACATGTTTTAACAATGCAGAACATTTTTGATTAATTCAAAGTAATAGTTTAAACTTGCTTGTCAAAAAATGATGGAAGGCAAGTTTCTATATGTGTAAAATCATTTTGTCGATCCAATTTTCCAGGAAAAAAATGGTTTTGACAGTAAATTTCAGACCAGTCTTGATGCTTTGTCTTGACAGTTTGAGTGTTTACATCTATTAGCTTGTTTGCCTTGATCTTGGTTACAGTAAATAAATCTTGTTATCAGCACCGAAGATATTTTGGTCTGTGTTGCAGTCAGGCATCATGACAATTCTCCTTGTCCCCTGCCTCATTTTACTTTTAAAGCCTCAGGAGAAGTATGTCTGGAGCTAAGGAATCTGTTTTCCTCTTCTTTCAAGATCTTATATTGACAAAATAAGTCTCTTTCATTCCACAATATAACAAGCCTCTTGGCATATTTGAGTCAGTATTTCTCCTTGATCCTAGTCTTTCTGTGCATCTTCTGGTGGATGAAGACTGTCCTCTCCTTATTTTGTTATGTGAAGGGAAAATCATTGCTACTTTTTTCTACTTCTGTTAATTTAATTAACTCATGACTTTTGGGTTAGTTGTCACCCCAGCATCTGAGGCAGCAGCTACAAATAAAAGAGATGTGAGGCATCTCTCTGTCTTCAGACTTTATCCAAAAAACAGCACCAAAAGCAAAAGAATTTGCAGCAGGACTAGGGAGCTGAGAAACTAAGGTCTGCTATAACTACAAGATGCAGGGCAGTCTCCTACTTATATGTGAGGATCCTGACTGAAAGGGGGAGCAAGTCATTGCTCAGGCCCTCTTGGTTCTAGAAAGGCAACTTCAAAGTGAGAGACGGGCTGGTTCTTTGGTCTTGTGACAGGGTTTTTAAGTGACATTGGCTAGTTTTTAAACAAGAAAAGTTTGACCGAACGTGGCTAAAACTTCACTTGGAATTCACAAGTTCAAGTTGTCTCCTGAGATCCCTGCAGACAAAATCCTCCATGAAACCTAGAAGGTAGAATTCCCACTCATAACACATTCAATGTGTGAAGTTATCCGGTGCATCTGCACGTCTTGTTTTTTGTTATTGCTGAAAGTAAGTGTTAGATGCACTCTTGCTTTATTTATCTGATGCTTGTACCCTTGAATAGATGTTAGAAAGGTAATGTCAGAGTGAAAAAATGATTGTGCTGTTGCTATATTTCTTTTGGCATTTGTTTGGAAAGACCAATTTTAGCACTTACCTTTCTCCACTGCGTTGTCTTCTACTGTTTATCACTAGGATGTTTATTGGCATTTCATTAATCTTGTTTATAATGTAAAAATTCTAAGCCATCAATTCAGAATTCTTTCTCTTAAATAGGGCAAATCCTTTGTGATTGGAAATGACCGATTTGAATTTGAAGCTTCTGTTAACAAATTAGCTAATGGAACATTCTCATTTGAGAGTCAAAAGGTCAGTGTGTTAAAATTGTCTTCAGTTCATTTTGTCCAGTTACAACACTGCCAGTTACACACAGTGTGCATACATGTGCAGATGTCATGTCAGCTGATCCATGTGGGAGATTAAACCATAATGGCAACATCTCATAGAGTCTCCATTGGCTAAAGTGCAAAAGACTATGATTTTTAACCACAGTTTCTGTCCCTAAAATCATATGTTGTTGTTTTTCCCATTATTTCTCTGTGGGTTCAGCTTATTAAGTCATTTAATTGTTCCCTACAGGAATTACCTATAGGAACTCTGGACCATTTTATGTAGGGATTGAGGAAAGAAGAAGTGTTATGTAGCCTGGTTAAGATGACTGAATAGGGAGCTAAGGAAAGTAACTTCTGAGTTCTCCCCTACCTGCAACTTTCCTTTGATTCAATTTGTCCATCTCTAAGAATGGGAAAAATTGAGATATTTTACTATTGCACCCTAGCTTCTGTAAAAAAACAAAAAAACACAAAATTTTTTTAGCCCGTATACTATATTGTAATTTAAGCTCATAGACACTGTTGAAACAAAGCCTGAGTAAATAAGCTTTTCTAACCTTATTGGCTAAGTTTTGAAGAAAGATGTCTATGCAGCATTTTGATGAATAATGTCCAAATGATTGGAACATGGCATTTATATTAATGTATGTGTGTTTTATGTTTTCTGTCTTTCACTGCTTGGGGCCTTTTGTTATGGCCACCATCTTCCAATGCAAGTAGCATTGTACGGGTCAAAGCTCTTTGTTTTGTCAGAGGGAGCAGGCTGCACTACTGAGTACATGAGGCCCCCATTGTCTGGCAGCAGTGTACTGTGTCCATAATAATGATGTGCCTCCTTGTGTGGGAAAGAACTCATCAGGTGCAGAGCTGCTGAAAGTCTCTACATACAGTATTGTAGCTCCTTGAACACCTATTGCTGAATATATTTCACATCAGTGAAAATTAATGATCCCTTGACAATTTGGGTATTTTTCTTCCTTGACCCTTACCAGATTCTGATTGCTGTAGATTAGATTTATTACCAAAATTTTCCCTGAGTATATTTGGACAAGAATACACAAATAGAACATAAATTTGGAATGTTTGGGGTCATTTTTCTTTCTTCATTCTTTGCATTAAGAATTGTAGGACAAGAAAATTATCCATGCTGATACAGATATATTATCATATTTTTCTAGTTTTCCTACGGTGCAAATGAAACTCTACCACTTGATTTATCCATTAAAACAGATGGGGTCAAGATTGACAGCAACCTGACAGGTAAGTATGAAATATGGGATTACCAATAGGGAAACTACCGTATGTTGAGATTTATTACTATAATAAATTTTGTAGCTTTGAAGATAATATTACCATTTCATGTTTTACAGTTTGGGGTGAAACATTTAATTATATATGACTTTATAAGCTCCTGAATTAACTGTCAATGTTAGCATCTTTAAAAATGCCTTTAACATATAAACTATTTTCAACCTTTGGTTCTGCTTTGAAAAGTAATTCTTTTAAAATAGTACTGTGAGTCTTATTGTTATCATGTAAAATTGTAATTTGTTAAAATCTTTAAAATTCTGTAAGTTTAAAAAAAATTTGAATTTAGTGCCATCCCAAAGACTGGGATTTGGTCTCGAAACTATACCCCAGATCATCACTAATACAGTCTACAGTCTTCCTTTGTCTTGGCAATGAACAACCACAGACATATTCAGTGCGTTTTCATCTCATTATTTTATTCATTTATTTCTATGGCAACAAAAACTGTGTTAAGTAGTTTACAGGAAAAAGATTGGGCCCTGCCATAAATTGCTTGTTTGTTTATTTTTGCAGCTCTTAGTTCATAATGAAGCAAATGTCAATAAAATCTTTGGCCCCAGTTATGCCCTGTCCTGGCAACCCCAGTGAAATCACTGGGAGCTGGTTCACCCACATAAAACAGTTTTAGGTTTAGGACATAATGCATATCACCTTGCATCCTCAGGCAGAGGATTTTTAGAGTCCTTTCAAGAGTTTATATAGTCAAAAATGTCCCTTTTGGGAAGTTAGTGTGTATGTTATTGTAAGTCAGCATCAGAGACTGATGAGTTATATGGCCATGGAAAAAAACACATTATTTTTGTATGCATAATAATAGTTAAACTGATCCTTTATAGGCAACAGAGAGACATGGGTTTTAAAATCGATTTTCCTTTGTTGGCCTTGCAGTACTGAGAACACCTGATGCTTCATGCCAGGTTTCTCTAATGGCAAGATCATGTTATAATGATACAGCATCATAATCTCCATTCCAAAAAGCTGTGATGTTAAAAATATAGAATTTTAGTAGGAACTTGCACAGAAAAGCTAAGCTGTTATTCAGATACAGATTTACAACACCACAAAGGGGAGACTGAAAAGTACAAGCAAATACCTTTTCTCTCTCCTCTACAAAATGTTTTTATCCAAATTCTCCCTTGCTTTAAAATTTCTTTGCCATCTGAAATTCACAGTATAATGGTCTTTATGCACCTTAAAATGAATTGACTTTAGATATTTGGGAGCTGCTGAGAAGCTACTCAATTATTTCAATTCTGGCACTTTTGAACTCACCAGTAAAAGAATCCCTTCATTGTATAAAACACTTAGTGAATACTAAGTTAAGAGAGCATTTTACATCTCAAACCTCTGGGGTTTCTGAACAGTATGGAATCCAATATATCCCTTTTATCCTTTGTCCTTTTTATCAATGATTCCACAGCTGGTATCTAAGGGTGATGGATAAGAGTCTAAACCTAATGTGACTGGCTTGCTGCCGGTACATTTAATGAGTTGATCAGTGAATGAAGAAGACTGCTTAACACTTTAAAGCTCTAGCTCTGTGTTGCTTCTGTGCATCTGGATGCGAGAGGGCCAACAAGGTACTGCAGTAGTAACTTTGTTTCCAGGAGAGGGGAAGAATATGGAGGCTAACAGAGTAATTCAATAAATATGTTCCCTCATTTTGCCAGTTTGCCATGTGGTAGTGTGGGTGGGTATTTCAGGGTATGGGTACAAAAAGGGAGGATTTGTTTAAAAACACTGCTTGTTAAAGTTCCTCTGCAATCTCAATCTATTACCAATTTGGGTGCTGGATTAGGAAAGCAATCTGTTTCATATTGCAAATTGCTTTCACATAGAAATGGCAAAAGCTTTCCCTGCTGCTCGTTGTGCAGTCTGTTCCAAGGATAAAGGAAAATGTTAACTCTGGAGTGATCAGACTAGCTCCTTCCTTAACACTAAATCATTCTGTAAAAATCATGTACTGGTGGGATCAATGAATAAAAATCCTCCAAGTCACTTACCTGCATCTTCATGATGTCTGTGCCACATGTGGTCAGTCCTACTTTCTTGCTATCACAGGATGGCTCAATGCTCCTAAAAGGCAATGAATCTATCCAACCTAGATAGAAAGAGCACTCCTCAACCAAGAGTTGACTGTGACAGATACCAGCATCAAGTTCATCCCCCAACACCCTGAAAGGAGATCTCTTGCCAACACTCGTATCCTAGAAAAAGTCTGGCATGCCATCAAGGAAACAAAGAACTGTAAGGTAATTGGACTGGATGGCATTACCTGGTGAAATCTACAAATGAGTGGCAAAGAGCTGGTACTGAGACTCCACACATGTATTCTTTGAATTACTCAAAGCAACCATCCTTGCTGTTCAATATGCCAGTGACCATGCTATCCTTATGCACACTGAGGAAAACCTCCAGGCTGCGCAGGATCTTTTCAGAGAAGCCTACCAAACTTTGTGCCTCTCTCTCAACATAAAGAAGATTGAAGTGCTCTATCAGCCTGCCCTGGGCCATGAATGTGACTTCCCCCCCACTCAAATTACCATCAACGCCAGGACCTGGGAGCTAGTCAAGCACTTCCCTTACCTTGGTAGCCACCTCTCCTAGAGTGAAGATTGAAGAGGAGATTTACCATAATTTCCCTCCTTTGGGAAAGTGCTTTGGCATGTCTTTCTTCACTGTGATCTCTGGAAAAACACCAAAATCTAGGTCTATAATGCAGTCGTCATCCCTGCTCTCCTCTACAGATGTGAAACATGGGTGACCTATCATCATCATCTGAAGAACCTGGAGAGGTCTCACCAATGATGCCTCAATAAATTCCTCCACAGCAAATGGGAAGATCTCCAGGCAAATGCCAGCATCCTTGCTAAAGCCAGTGTTACCAGCAGTGAGTCAGTGATCCTCAAGCACCAGCTTCTCTGGAACGGACACTGTGTGCAAATGAACGCTTGACTCCCAAAACAAGTCCTTTACTTCCAGCTTAGTAACAGCCCAAGACATCACAGAATCCAGAGGAAACACTAAGGACACATTGAAGGTATACTTAAAGAAAATGGATGCCAACATCAAGAATTGGGAACAGCTGGCTGCCAACCAAGTGGTGCCACAACCTCAACAAATCAACAGCCCGTTTCAGGGTAAAGCATCTTGTCTTCAAAGCAGAGAAGAGAGAGCAGAGGAAGAAGGAGAGGAATACCAGCCTGAAGCCTACTGCCTCCTGCAGAAAGACCTGCAACTTCTGTGGATGGATGTGTGGCTCAGGGATTAGGATCTTAAGTTACTTCAAGACCCATCAACAAGCTGTGAATCAAGGGGTTGCTGACAACTAGTACCAAAAGCTTCTTCAGTCTGGAATAGACCCATTTGACACCAGTGTCACACTATCATCTTGAAATCTAGTAAACCATTTTGTTGATAATGCACAAGTATAAAGTCTGCTTTTGTTGCACTCAGTGGCAATAACTCTTCAGAGTTATTCATCATTTTGGGTAGGGGAGAGCACCTGTGGCTGTGTGTAGCAACACTGTATTGTTCATGCTTGGTAAAAGAATGAGAGTGCTGATGAGAAAAATAATGAAGTGGAACATATGACTTCACTACTTCTCCAAATGAATGGACAGAGACATAGGAGGAGTGGTTGCTCCTCAAGGGAGCAATCCTCAGTGCACAAGCTAATTCTATTCCATCTCAGAGGAGAGGCAGCAAGAGGGCACAGCAGCCCCCCTGGCTCTCCAGGGATCTAGCAGACCACCTGAGGCTAAAAAGAAAGGCCTATACAGGATGGAGGATAGGATTCGCCTCCAAGGAGGATTATTCTGCACTGGTCTGGTCTTGCAGGGAGCAAACCAGAAAAGCCAAGGCTGCAACTGAACTCCAACTAGCTTCGAACATCAAGGACAATAAAAAGTCCTTTTTCAGATATGTGGGGAGCCAGAGGAAAAGCAGGGGCAACATTGGACCCCTGCTGAACCAGATGGGACAACTGACAACTGACACCCAGGGAAAAGGCAACCTATTAAATGGGTACTTTGCATCAGTCCCATGGGACACTCATGCTTACTACGGGACAGGGCGGTCCGGGTGAGGGAGATCCCCTGCCTCCATTAATGCTGACCTCGTAAAGAACACCTTGAGAGGCTGGATACCTTCAAGTCAGCTGGCCCTGACAGTCTACACCAGGGTACTCAAGAAGCTGGTGAGCATCATAGCCCAGCCCCTGGCGCAGGTCTTTGAGAAC